TAAATTTACAAAAACAGGCACACCATGGTCAAGAGAACTATACATTGTGGACTACATATCATAGTCAGCAGTGTTTGTTTTCAAATCCAATATTCAGAGCATAGGGACAGACTTTTCAACCAAACCTGTTAGCTGGAATAGTTGAGTTTAGTTGAAGCAGAAGTTGAGAAGTTGAGATATTAGTTCCAGTGGAAGACCCCAGTGGTCCCCAAAGGATACCCATGTTGTACTGCAAAAGGTGTCACATCCCCTAGATCACTAATCAGCAGGGAAGTTGTCAGACACATACCATGCTTTTAAATAAAGACTGAGGATAGAAGATGAGGATATTGGAATTGGAGCTTCCTAGGTCCACAGTCTCAAAATTTATAATGCTACCTAGCCTTGATTCCCTTAAGTAGAAATTATAGTTTCTTCTACAAAACAGGGTTGTTTGGGGGGGTTAAATGAGGTAATTTATGTAAAAGCATTTAACACTTAAGAAAGCGCTCCATAATTGTGAGCTTAACTGAAATCATCCTTAATGATAAAAACAGAAATAATTGGTACTAGGATGTCCAAATAGAGGGTGATTCACTTGGTGCTCTTTGGCTGAACTTTGGCTTTAGGACTGGGATGTAGCTCTAAAAAACTCAGGGGCAATTACCTTTTGGAATTTATCTTAAGGGAAAAAAAAAAAAAAAAACAGGGATGCCTAGGTGGCTCAGTTGGTTGAGCACTTGCCTTTGGCTAAGCTCATGATTTCAGCGTCCTGGGATGGACCTGAGTTGGGCTCCCTGCTTAGTGGGGAGTCTGTTTCTCTCCTTCTTTCTCCCCTTCTCGCCCATGCTTGCATGCACTTTATCTCTGACTCTCTTAAAAATAAATAAATAAATAAAATCTTAAAAAAAAAAAAGGAAAAAGAAGCAACTATTATGAAAAAATTTATCCAAAAGGTTGTTCATGGTACTATAGTTTATAATGGTGAAAATTTGAAAGCAGCCTACATTTCCAACAATAAAAGACTGATTAAAGACATTCATTAAAAATAATATTATAGATTCAAAAAATAGAAGTATTTATAAGTTTTAGAAGGGAAGTTCTAAAATATCTGAAGCAAAACCTGGCTGGTAAAAACAGAGATGTCCACCATTTTTTATGTTTTTTCTAAAACTTAAAAAAAAAACCCCACAACTTCCAAAATAGTATATACAATAGAATTCTTTAGTATGCTGTACTTCTCACAATGTAAGACTTATCACAGTTTATTATAATCCTTGTTTCTTTCCATCTTCCCTGGTAGATTGCAAGGTATTTAGGGCAGTAGATATCTTTCTTATCCTATTATCCCTAGCCCGTAGAACAATGCTTGAACATAAGAAATTCTCAATAAATAAGTGTAAAACCACATGCATCCATGTAGAAATAAGACTGGAAAGATATGCAACAAAATGGTAGCCGTACTTATCTTTGAGTTGTCTCGGGCTGGTCAATTACAGGTAGTTCTTGTTTTCTGTATCATGACCTGCAGGACCTTTGGGGGAACTCCTTTCAGAGCTAGACTTCGTTTGACTAGGTCAGAACAAATGAGTTGTTTAGTTGTAAAGACATATTAATTTCTCATTCTTACCTATATCATCCAGATTAATTTGCAGTTGTTTTGACTTCTCCATGCCCAATGCATTTACAGCTTGGACCCAAACCAAATATTTTTTGCCACCTTGCAATGAATCAGTAGAGATGTTAATACAACTTGAAGAAAGATATTGTTGCTCTTCTTCTGTCTCTAAACTTAAAAAAAAAAAAAAAGGTTATGATGACCAGTTATGTTTGGTTTGAATGAGTTATTCTTCAATTTTTTAAAAATATTTTATTTATTTATTTGACAGAGAGCTAGAGAGAGAGCACAAGTAAGCAGAGCAGCAGGGAGAGAGGGAGAGAGAGAAGCAGGCTCTCTGCTGAGCAGGGAGCCCGATGTGGGGCTCGATCCCAGGACCCTGGAATCATGACCCGAGCTGAAGGCAGTCGCATAATCAACTGAGCCACCTGGGCACCCCATTCCTCAATTTTTTGATACTACTTTTTTAGCCTGATTTCAGAATACAAAATTTATTTAATTTTGAAAATTTTAAAAAATAAATTCAAGACTCTTCAGGGCCACATTATGACTTTCATGAGTCTTAAGTCCTTTTGCCTTTATGGATTGATTCTTCTACCCAGAAAAAAAAATAGTACATATGTGTGTGGGTATGTGTATACTTATATAGATACATATATATGTTCATATAGATTATGTTCTATTACTGTTGATTTAAAAGCAAATATATCAGTATTACATCTTGAAACATTTTCTTTGACCTAATGGTTTTTTTCTTCTGATTTTATTTCACTTATATATTTTTTAAAGATTTTATTTATTTATTTGACATGGGGAGGGGAGGGAGTGAGCGCAAGCACAAGCAGAGGGAGAAGCAGGTTTCCGCTGAGCAAGGAGCCCAATATGGGACTCTATCCCAGGATCCTGGGATCATGACCAGACCTGAAGGCAGCCGCTTAGTGCACTGAGCCACCTAGATACCCCTTTTCTTCTGATTTTAAATGAAATTAAGCATGTTCATGGACTCCTAAAGATATCATTGGCCCTGGGCATTATGCCTCCAGGAAAAGTTGACTCTAGACTGAGCTTGAAATAAATGAGTACCCTCTGGGAAGGAGCATTGCATAGGAGCTCAGTACACGGGCTTTGAGTCGGACATTTCTACCAGGTATAGAGTGAGGAGTAAGAATGGCTTGAAGGATCAGGATAGGGTGAGAGATCTGGATGGGGTAGAGAAAGACCCTTCCAGGGGAAAAAACAAACAAACAAACAAACAATAACAACCCCCTCCCCCCGGCATGTTGTAAAACAAATAACTGAAGTGGCATGCCATTTTCAAGAAAGTTCAGCATGTTAATTCTTTGGAGCATGAATGTGGAAGAAATAACTTGAAGTAGACAAGATCAGAAAGACTTCCTGTGGACTTTGAAACGAGCACTGGCTGGATCTGGTGGCTGATTAGGTAAGGGGAAAAGGAAGTCATTTGCTGCCAAAGAAGATGGAGAAGATAGAGGGGAGAAGCACAGTTTGGAGTGAGAAATAGAGCTACTAAATCATCACTTCAAATTATATTTATCTAAGCTTTTATAATGGAATGAGTGAGGATCTCTAATCAGCCAGTTTAACTTAGTGAATTTTCAAATGTTATTTGTTAAGGCTAAAATTTTAAATTTTATTAGTTTCCATTGGCTTTTGTTAGCAAGTTTGAGCCTCTCTGTTATATCTGTTAAAAAATTTCTGGGGCACCTGCCTGGCTCAGTCAGTAGAACATGTGTCTTTTGATCTGGGGGTCCTGAGTTGGAGCCCCATATTGGGTGGAGAGATTACTTAATCAATCAGTCTTAAAAATTTCTACTCCACAATATTTTTAAGGGGTAGAGGCTGGAGGTAGTGGTGAGGAGAGTATTGGGAAATGTTTCTTCCCTTTTCTTCTGGTTTCAGTGAGGAGAAACTGTCCTCAAAACACCTCTGTTCTGTCTTGTCCCTCCCTCCCTCATCCTTCTTGAAATAGGCCTGATTCTACTAATGAAGAACTGGATTGCACACCTCACAGTCCCTTCCTCTCTTCCAATTTCCCTTGGGAGTCAGAAGACCACAGAAATGATCTTTTCTGGTCTTCTCTAATAAGCTATAAGATTTAGAGGAGTTGGTCCCCAAGTGGGGTTGTGCAGCTGTTTAATACTGGCTGTGATTGAGGGCAACGGCAGTAACTCTGTTTATTCTGGGAAGATCAGTATTAGAAGGTTTACTTTTGCCACATACCGAAGCCATGCTCTCCATTAACAAGCTTCATCAGTAATAAATATTATAAAGTATTTTAAATGTTTCATTATTTAAATATATTTTTTAAAATACTTAAACATAACTATTTTTATATTTCTGTTTTCACCTATTGGCTTTTTTATTTCTCTCAGTTGGTTTAGAATTCATGAGGAAAATCTGCAGAGATAAATATTGAGCCACCTCAGACTCTTAAACACCATTATCTGTACTCAGATCCATTCATAACATGAAAGTGGTTTTCACTAGACTTCACTAAGTTTGCATTTCTTGAACCCTTTGAACTACGAACTCTTTTGATTTCCTTTTCTTAAGTGTCTCAATCAGATTTTCTATATCCTGGTAATTACATCCAAGTTACCATTTCCACTTGTTCTTTAAGCTTTTTGTGCCTTCACTTTTCCCATGAAAATACTCTTCTAAATGGTGTCCTTTCCTCTGAATCCTCTTTGTAGCAGTCATCCCTCTTGAAAACTTACAAGTCTTACTTCCCTTGGCTACCCAGACCCTGCCTTCTGAGTGAAAGAGCCTACATCTTTTTCTCACACATGCTTAGTGACGTCTTTCCTTCTTCGGCCCTCCACTTGGGTTGCCCTCTCTACTCCTCTAAGCCCACCACAGTGAGGGTCAGTCTGTTGGTGCTTACTGTTCTTTCAGCTCACTCAACTTCCTGGTCCAGTGACAACAATGGACAAACATTCCACACATACAAATACTGAATATCTGCACTCTTACTGGGAGCTGCATTTGTATATCTGCCTGAGAACAGAACTATAGCATATTTATAACTGAATCGTATATTCTTCTTCTTGCCCATTTCTCCATTATTGTCAACAGCATGCTGCCTTTCTGATGTCCTTGGTTTGCCATTTTTAACAACTTTTCCTCCATCACTTAAGAGCCAACCATAGAAGGTGAAGTATTTCTTTAACTATTATTTTCTTATCTTTTGTTCCTGTTTTGATAGCTATGGCCAGGGTCTAAGCCTTAGTTCTATATTATCTGTTTGGTATATTACTTGTAGATTCCTATGTTAATTGTATTACATTGTGAAACCTAACAATATAGATCTACTAACTTGAAGGGAAACAACCTTGGAATCTGAACAAAGGTGAAAAGACAAATATCCTAAATTCTTGTATTTGACAAATAGAAATGCTTCACAAATTTGTATGTCATCTTCGATTAGGGGTCATGTTTGCTTTCTCTGCACTGTTCCAATTATAGTATTTGTGCTGCTGAGGCAAGCACGGCTCGGTTTCTTTATCTAATACCATCAACTTTGTCTGTCCTGGGGGACTGACTTGATAGGATTTATGTGGAAGGAAGAGTTTAAAAATCACAATCATTTCACCTCTACAGCTGCACGCTTCAAGTCCTATTAATGTATGCATCTATTCAGCAACTCCCCCAATTTCTCCAGCCCCACAGTATCCCAGCCAGGATTATAACTTGCCGGCCACTATGATCTGTTAGACTCTAGAGTGGCTTGTTTGCTGAGACACAGAACTCCAGGGAGGAAAAGAGAGACCAGCCTCACTCTACCAAGAGATAAATGCATTTATGAATCAAAATACTATAGAATTTATATATTTGTATTTTTAAACTTATAGCCACCACCAGAGCAGGAGAAGCTCAGCAGGCAACCAAGGAATCTCTCTAAGGCTGACAGGGATAACGTGGATAAGGGGGAGGAGTCTACATGGCATGGAGGTGGCAGTAACTACTCCAGTTCAGCTCAGGTTTTTAACCCTCAGTGTATGGTTTCCAGTGCTGCCTCTTTCCTTTCAGCAGCAGCGAGATCACTATGAGCACCAGGCTAGGACAACGACATGTCATAATGATGAAAACCTCAGTGCGTGGGTTTTAGAAAACAACAACAACAACAACAAAACAACCTAGGTTCAAATCCCAGCTCTTCCCCTTGATAAAATGTGGGACTTGGAGCCTGTTACCTAACCTCAGTGTACTTCAGTTTACTCATCTGACAACAGAATAACATCGTTGTGATCATGAGTAATAAGTGAGTGAGATAAGGAAGCATGGAGCAGGTGGTTTCACATGCAATAAAGGGCTTATTAAACACAATAATTATTTTGAATTAAAAGGTATTTATGATAAGACTTACGCATTCTACAGAATACAAATGAAACCTTTAAAGCTGTTATATTTCAACAAGCAAAATTTCTTTTGTATTACTTGTATATGAAATCAAATCCTTCCATTAAATTCAGGTGTTTGCATAGTTCCCTTATATTTATTTTGAAATAAGATGGAATGTAAATAAATTACAGAGTTTGTTTTGAGGTATGCTAACCTCGAAATAATTTCGAGGCTATGAATTTTATTCATGCTCAATAAAATTTCAAATGTGAAAATAAGAAAATGGCAAATATAGGTAAGTAGCAAGTAGGGCATCTCTGAGTATTTTCCAGTTAGAGAAAACCACATGCATGTCCTTGGTTTGTGGCTAATTCTTTTATCTTTTATATTGAGACCACAGTCAAAATGGAAATATATTCTTAAACCGACATTAACCATAGTTATTAGGTAATTTAATTCTGCTTTTAAAGTTTAACTTCATATTAGTGCCTAGATCACAAACACTGTTTTAGATGAAGAACTAGTAATAATGAATGAATGACTATAACTTTGGGGCTATTTTTACATGAAACTGTATATTGCAAAGTTTTCAAATTTCTTATTTCTATTTCTGGTTTCGGTGTGCTTATTAACACATAACGGATTATTTGTTGAAGGGAGTCAGCAGGATTTATATGTCTCTGAATTTTCCCATACACCTCGCCCTAGCTGTTTTTAATAGATTTTCAGTAAACACTGCCAATCTATGGTAATAATGGTGAATGGTGTTTTCTATTTATTTAGCCACTCATTCAACAAATATTTATTTAACATTCACTATGGTCTGAGCACTCCTTAAGACACTGGGAATACAACAATGGACAAAACAGATAAATGTCTCTCCCATTCTTTCTTTCTGAGCCTATAGCACTCTCACAAACATGGAGAACGTTCCTAAAACCCATCGGACTTTCTGCAAGAAGTATGGCAAGCACCAACCCCACAAAAGTGACACACTGCAAGAAAGGCAAAGATTCTCTTTAGGCCCGGGAAAGCAGCCTTATGAAAGGAAGCAGAGTGGTTATGGTGGGCAGACTAGGCCTATTTTCCGGAAAAAAGGCTAAAACTACAAAGAGGATTGTGCTGAGGCTTGAATGTGTTGAGCCCAACTGCAGATCTAAGAGAATGCTGGTTGTTAAGAGATGCAAGCATTTTGTATTGACAGGAGATAAGAGAAAGGGTCAAGTGATATAGTTCTAAACTTCATATTTTGTTTTATCATGAAGACAATAAAATCTTGAGGTTATGTTTACTTCATTTGTTTGCAGTTGGTCTTTTAAGAGGAAAATAAACTAGTGCCACCAATGAAGTTCCTCTTGTGGGGCAGTTTGTGCTTGAAAACAAACAAAATATAACAGGTAAAGTCCCAGCCTTCATGGAGCACGCATTCTGGTGGAAACAAATAAATACATGATATGCCATGTGGTGCTAACATTTAGAAGAAAAATAAAGCAAAAAGGGGGTAGGAAGTGCTTGAAGCAGGAGTGGGGATTTTTTTTCTTTTTCTTTCTTTCTTTTTCTTTTCTTTTTCTTTTTTTTTTTTTGGAAGGTGAAGATGAGGAAGGCCTGTCTAAGAAGGTGACTTTCCTCCTCTCTGGAGAAAGAGCATTCTAGAGATACTCAATGACTCAGAATCTTGCTTGTCCTGTTCAAGGAACAGCAATGACATCAGTGATGTTTGGTTTAGGCAAGACTGATAGAAAGGGATTAAACATGAGATCAGAGAGTCTGGAGGAGGGAAATTTCGAAGTTATTATAAGGTCACACAGAGCCATTGAAGGATTCTGGCTTTGATCTGTGAGTGAAATAGGAGGTTTTGAGCAGAGGAGTGACATGATCTGAGGTGCATGTGAAAAGAATTACTGCAGCTACTTGTATATAATAATAACTATAGGAGGGCAAAAGTGGAGGCTAGGGCACATTTAGGAAGTTCTTCTACTAACTCAGATGAGAGATGATATGGTTTGGCTCAGGGTTGCAAAGTAGGTAGTAAGAAGAGGTCAAATATAATAGGTTTTGCTGATTAATTTTGTTAAGGGCCTGGTGGGGAGGAATCTAGGAGGACTCCAGTGATTTTGACCTAAATAATATGAAGATGGAATTGCCATTTACTGAGAAGGGGAATGCAGTGTGAGTAAAGGAAACAGGGTATTTGGTACTGAACAGGTTGGCTTAGAGATGGCTTTTGGATGTCTAAGAGAGAGTGTTGAATAAGATGTTAGATATATGGTAGCTGTGGACAGAGGAGATGTCGTAACTTGAGGTAGATAAATTGTGAAGTTTTACACTTTGAATTTGCATTATGTCTTTTAGGTAATGAGTATAGATAGAAATAAAAGGAGATCCTAGGAATAAGCTATGGGGACCTATTACTTTACTAGAAATGAAGAGGCAATGGCCAAAGAGTCTAAGAAAAAGTGTCCAGGAAGTTTGGAGGAGAATCAAAAGGCAACAGTGTCCTCCACACCAAAAGAAGGAAGTGAAAATCTTAATTAAATGCTCCTGATAAGAAAGATAAGGACTGAGAGAAACCATTGGATTTGCTAATGGAGAAGTTGTCAGTGACACTGATAAGACCTGTCTCAGTCTACCACAAAAATTTGACTAAACTAGGTTAAAGATGAGAGAGGAAGTAGAGACAGAAAATATAGACAACTCCTTGAGTTTTGCCACAAAGAGGAGCAGAGAGGGTAGTGGGGAGAGGAAGGACCAAGAAATTTTGCATTTTTCAAGAGGGCAGATGCTGCAGCTTGTTTGAAAGCTGGTGGGAATGAGCCAGTAAAGATAGAAAAGGTGACCATGCAGAAAAAAAGAGAGGAAAATTGTTGGAGCAGTGTCCTCCAAGAGACAGGAGGCGTAAGATCTAGCACATGAAGTGGAGAGTTGGCCTCAGGGCAACTGTAGTACATCCACAGTAGTAGAAAGGAAGACCAAGTATTTGGGTCAGATGTTAATGCATCAGTAGATGGAGGAGGCTTATGGTATTTCTCATTGCTCCTATTTTCTCAGTGAAATTAGAAAGCAGGTCATTAATATAGAATGAGGAGGGAGAAAAGATACTGAAGACCAGAAATGAGAGGAAAAAGTAATGAAATAATTATTGACTTAGTGGGTGAATGACTTGGCCAGTGATAAGTAGCAGGATAGTGGGTGGCTATCTGGGCCCATTGAGATTAATGGTCATTAATATAAAGTCCCACCAGTCAGTAAGTTTGTGTTTGTCCTCAGTCAGAATTAGCTTTTCTAGTATGGGTGCAGAATCAGTGAGGAAATGGATTTAAAAACATGAACTGCTTATTAGGTCCTTGAAGAATTACTGAAATATAAGATCACAGTCTTCAGAATATTTAGAATCATGCCAAGGAACTCTTTCTGGTTATTAGGAATATGCATATGGAGGAGAAGTAGAAATGGCCAAAACAAGCAGAACTTATGAACTGACAGAATAGGCAATTGACCTAGAGGGTCTAAAACGATATTTCATCAAAAAATAATTGCCCTACCGATCTCTCACAGTGCCTGAAAATTTCATCGTTGGTGTTATTCTAATAAGTTGATGACCTTGTCATGCACAGAGATGGTGCCTATCTATTAAAAAAAAAATCTCTAGAATTTAACATGGTAATGAGAAGTCACAAAATGCTAAATAAATATTTGCTAAATTAGCTTGAATGGAATAGAATGAAGGGCCATCATGCATTCATTTTAATTCAAAAAGTATTTATTGAGTAGAAGACACTGCAATAGACGTTGCAAGAATTTCCAAGATAAAGAACATATTTACATGAAGCTGTTGAGGGTAAGAGACAATAGTAGGTAGCTGTTTATTAGCAGAGTTTCTTCTTCTTTGGTTTCTCCTATCACCACTTATTGATATATAGCCAAAGACAGAGGGGTATAGGAGGGTGTGCGAATTGCTGTGCAGTTCTGCTGGTGGGGTTACCACAAAGATACTAGGGAGAAAGAAAGCTTTTGTAGCAACACAGATATAATTCCTTTCTTTCACAACTTAACCCAACACCAGTAGGGAAGCCCTGATGGACCCACAGGTTGCAGTGGAGGGAATACCACCTTTCTGCCACTAGTGGAACAAGGTGGGTGGACTGAGG